TCAAGAAGAATATACAAAGGAAATTCATGAAAAAGTAGAAATAAAACTGTTCTTTGTGCTGAGGGTGGTAAAACACTGAACAGACTGCCCAGAGAGGTTGTGGAGCCTCTGTTGTCAGAGATACTGAAAATCCCAAGGGAAACATCCTGGGCAACCTGCTCTCAGCAGGGAGGCTGGACTAGACCATCTTCAGAGATCCCTCCTGGTCTGCACCACGCTCTGCTTCTATGAATTCAACTTTCTCAGCTAAAGGTTAACTTAGCTGTGACAAAAACCCATATAAACTTTTTATGAAGAGAGAAAATGCTATTTGAAATCTAAGACAAAAAAAATCAGCTGTTCCAAATGCAACTTTTATAGGTTTTGTGGCATTAAGCATATGTTGAAATTCCCCAGGAAAAAAACCCCAACAGGCTTATGCTGTCTCAAAAGCAATGCATTAAAACATTAATTCTGATTCTCACAGGATTTCTTCCCCATATTTCTTATCAGCTATCATGGAATCATAGACTTGATCACAGAATGGGATTGCTGGGGTCCATCTGTTCCAATCCTCTATGCAGAGTAGGATCAGCTTTGAAGTTGGATCCAATTTCAAGTTTGAATCATGTTGCACAGGTGATTTCCAGCTGAATTTTGAGCATCTCTCCATGCAAAAACAATGAACTACATCTATTCCTACCTTACTGCCACATAAATTAAGCTTTCAGCTTCATTTCATCCTCATTAAAGAATATCTCTGAAAAAGATGATTGATAGGTACTCAACTTGTTTTAGCTGACAAAGCTTTGATATGACTGAAATCTCTAGAAAAGCTGCTCCTTTGGTGGACTCCTTCAGACAGGTCCTGAACTCACTGTCTGCCTAAATATGCAGGAAAGGCACTTTCTAAATATTATTTTAAATACGTAAATTTTAGACTTATTCACTGCTAAACAGGTATTATGCTACATTTTTTTCCCCTTCAAAATTATTTCAGATTAAACACTGCTTCACAGAACAAGTATTGCAACTAGGTTTTTATCAGAAGTATTAATAGAATTATTTTCCAGTGGTGATATACTGAAGTGTAATCACTTGGTATATGCAGTAAAAGAAAGGTCAGGCTTTCTGCACAGGGATATAACCCATCCTCAGTGGGATCAAATAAACACCTCGGATATTTCCACATTTTAAGGGCTGATGTGCATGTTGAATATTTAAAATTTTGAGCCTAAGAATTCAGTTTAAAATGTTGCCTTATGTCTTGTGTTGGTATTAATTTACACATGTAAAGTCTGAAGAATGAATTGTTCTTAAGAAGGACAAGCAAAGTCAATATACAAAAAAGCCTAGTGTTGCCTGGATGAACAACAAAAACAAGTACTTGACAAATTAATCCGTGGGGGTCCAAAGTCCCCCAGTATTGTCTACAATATCTCTGTTAAGAGAACAGCAGAACAACCAATCAGACCTGGAAGCTCATATAATACATTACAGCACTGCAGAATCTCATTTAGGGGTTTAAGGTGTCATTAGAATTGACTGTTTTCAGCACAGATTTGGGTGCTGAACCCAACCTCTGCTCCCTGATCCAACTATAAAATGACAATGTGATGATTCTCGTTTTGCTCATAAAAATTATGTAAAATTACTTTATGTAATGACAAGCCAGAAGGTGCCTTCCCGAACCTGCAGATTTGCAGTTGTGCAAATGTGTGATTTGCATGAACTCGAAGGCAGGTGCAGAGGTTCAGCTTCACTGCAAAGCAGCCAAAATGCAGCCCAACCCCTAATTCCTTATTTTATAGTACAGTTTCCTCCTGTAGCTGTACTGGATACTTTAAGGGACCTTAAAGATCTCATTCCAACCCCCTGCACCTTCCACTATCCCAAGTTGCTCCAAGCCCTGTCCAACCTGGCCTGGGACACTTCCAGGGATGGGGCAGCCACAGCTTCTCAGGGCATCCTGTGCCAGGGCCTCACCACACTCACACACAAGAATTTCTTCCTGATATCCCATCTAATCCTGTCCTGTCACTCCAGGCCCTTGTGCAAAGCCCCTCTCCAGCTCTCCTGGAGCCCCTTTAGACCCTGGAAGGGGCTCTCAGGTCTCCCTGGAGCCTTCTCTTCTCCAGGTGAACCCCCCCAGCTCTCCCAGCCTGGCTCCAGAGCAGAAGAGCTCCAGCCCTCGGAGCATCTCCATGGCCTCCTCTGGACTTGCTCCAGCAGCTCCACATTCCTCTGATGTTGGGGGCCCCAGAGCTGGACACAGAACTCCAGTGGGGTCTCACAAGAGCACAAGAGGGAGACAATCCCCCCAACCTTGACCTTTTTTTTGATAATAAGGTGCTTCGTTTCTGTGTTGTGCCATAACAACACAGGTGATGCACTGAAGGGGATCAGACACCAAGAGGAGTCAGCAACATCAGGCACCATAAACTCAGTTCATTTTGCAAGGCATGGAATTAAATACTTTGTAAGGATGGAAATCAAAATTCCACTACAGTTTGCTCAGCAAACAGCGGGATGTCCCCCCGGAGCAGTGATATCCAGGGTGCCCCATGGAAAACAGAGCATGAGAAATCACTCACTGTCATACAGGACACAGTCACATACTTTCTGTCACCTTCAGCATTTAAAGCTTGTCATGCTCCCCAAAAAAACCACAGGAATGCAGCACGGGCATTATGTTATTTATAGGCCACAGGTCGGAGACTCTTTTTCAGAGGAAGGTTTGCTTGGATTAAGAGTTTAATAACGGGGCATTTATTCATCCTATCATCAAACATCATCCTAACAAAAGCCCTGGATGAAGCTTAGTTATTTCCTTGTTAACATGCTGCAATCCAGGAGCAGAATTAATAAATAAAATCACTGGATTTGACTTACTTTGGGTTTATTTTGAAATTCTAAGTACTAACAGACTGTTACAGCAGCTTGTATTAACTTTGCTGAGCAATTAGAGGACATGGTTAGTTTTTCATCCCCTTCAGTGCTTTATCATATCATTGAGAACAGTCACTTTGCTTCCCAATGATATTTACAGATTTATTCTGATTTTCACTAACCATAGATAACAGCTCCCTGTAAACCTTGATGGGACCAAAATCTGTTTCATACAGGTCACAATTACAACAAATTGTAGCACTTAGGGAATTTATAAACTGAATTCAGCACTTGTCCAACTACTTATGTTTACTCCACCAGCAATAATAATGCAAGTTACAAAGCTTCTCCCAGTGCCTTTGCAAATGGGAATCATGGATGCCAGTGGATCCAGGATGTATGGAGAGGCATATTATAATGACAAAACCACTTTTCACACACTGTCAGCTGTAATTTTCCTGCAACTCTCCTACTACTACAAAAAAAAAAAAAAATCTATTGAAAGATGTTAGTGACTCGACACATATTCCATTTGAAGTGATGGCATACACAGCTTGGGTTTACTTTTTTTGGTTTTGCTTTTTTCTCTTTTAGCCTTTTAGAAAAGGCACTGGTGCCTGAATTTGGAGTTTCTTTTTCTGAACTTCTGTGTTTTCACAAATATCAGAGATTATTCTTTCTCATCACTCTCCCCAAACTCCCTAACATCAAATCTGAAAATTTCTGTTCTCTTTCTTAAAAAAAAAAATTAAAAATCCCAGATTTCTCTCCCTTACCAAATAAGGAGAATCCAAGTACCACTGAAGCCATCCATCCTTCCATAAGAAATTAAGCTACCAAAGGCTGGGAGCACTCAGGAAAACACAGATTTGCTTTCCATGTAAGAGCACAATACCCTGCCACTAACAATGGTGAGCTTTGTGCCAGGACACTGGAACAGTAAATCAGCACAGACACACAAACACAGGTAAAAGTGCCTCCCAGAAGGGGGGTTGTACTGGTACAGTGCTGTGGCTCAGGGGTCACATCACTTTATCCACCTTTTTGACAGAGCTGTTGAAGCAGAACACCATACTGCAGGCTAGACCAGAGGAAAAAATCTTTTAAAGTAGTACAAATAGGAAAAAAAAATATATTCATAAAGTCCTCACTAGCTTTGAGGGGAGTCACAAACTTAACTACTCTCTGAAATGCTGGAAAAACAAATAACACTCTGGTTTTCCTTACAGTGATTACAGAATTCCCCTGAATATTGCCTTGCCTCCAATTTATTCACAAGCTTTTACTTGTGTGGGCACGTGGCCCAAACACAGCCATTCCTACACTGTGTAACTGCTTTGTACAAAGCTGCAGTTAAAAAATAAAGCTGCTTTATAAAGAGTAACACAACCAAATCCCTACTGAAATATATTGTGAGGCCTCTGTACTTGCAGCTCGTGGTTTGTAGGTTGTTCACCAAGTGACAACCAACCAACAGAAGTAAAGTGTGAAAGCCAAAAACACTGAATTTTTGCTGTGCAATACTTACTCTGAGCAACCCAATCAACTGTCTATGTTAAACAACAGATCAGTAATTTTAGAAATCTACTCCTAAAAATGTTCCATGCATTGGACTGAGATTCCCAGCAACTCTAAGTGAATGTCCTCAGCCTGGTCATTAAAACATAAGGACTTCCACAACAGAATGAATGCCCAAGATTTGCTAAAGCCGAAAACTAATAAATTCACAGAATGAGTAAGAATGGAAAATTAAATGTGTTCTGTAAAACTGACACTACTCCCTTTAGGGCAAAAATAGGGATGCTGGACAGAGATCTGTTAACCAGTCTGCATTTGGACACTGACTCTTTTTGTCCCATCAAGAGATTTCAGTTTGAAGTGAGACCTCAAACACAGTTAAAAGACATAAACAAAAATGGGAACATGATGTTTATCCATAAATACAATTTTCACAGTGTTCATCAAATGTGCTGCAGCAGGAAATCTCACATCGAGACGTACTGAAAAATGGGAGAGCAAACTGATGGTTCCCACTATGTAGAATGGAAAACCAATACAGATCATATTCTTGCTTAAGAAAACCAGATCCCAAGTGTCCAAAAAACATATTATAGTGATCTAAACAATCTTACCCTCCTTCCCATCAACAGGTTTTGATACTTCCATGTCAAAGCTCTCCTGCAGCTGCTGGCCTTTGAAGCGGTTGAGATGCTCCTGTTCTATTAAGTTACTTTCCTCCTCTTCCAGAGGTTGCCATGTCCCATCAATAAACCACTGTCCACGCATTACAGGGATCTTTTCTGTTTCTAAAATAAAAAAAGAAGATTTTTTTTTAATGCAACAAATCACAAACTGACTGCAGGAAAGAGGGAAGGGAATTTCGTTGGGTGTCTTGATGGAAAAGTTACACTCCTGCTGCTGGGATCCGTAATAAATGACTTGAGAAACACCATCACCTTTCCCCATGGGGCTGAAATGAGGAGTTTAATCCGCAAACCTGAGGGTAACGAGGTCAAATTTTCCAAGGGTGTGTGAGGATGTGAGAGATGGACAGAAAAACAGAATCCCAGAATGGTTTGGGTTGGAAGGAGCTTAAAGACCACCTTGTTCCACCCCTTGGCACGGGCAGGGACAATTTCCACTATCCCAGGTTGCTCCAAGCCCTGCCCAACCTGGCCTTGAACGCTTCCAGGGATGGGGACTCCACAAAATTTATTAAAGGTTTAATTTAAACAACAGCCCAGCTTTAGTGGGATATACTCCTCTCCACTCAGCTGCCTTGAATTTTTGAATAATTAAGCTATTTGTGAGGCTTATGCTCCTCTACACAATTTGACTGATAACAACCATCAGTTTCCAAGTTATCAAGAGGATGCAGAAAGAGGAGGAGATACAAACCCACTCATGCTTACTCTGACTGCACAGAGCCTTATTTCCTTTGGGAATTGCACTTCCAAGAACCCAAATTACACAACGATTAGCATAAATGGTGATATTTAAAGATGAAAGGATTTTTTTTTTTATTAAAATCAGTCTTTTGCTGAGGGCTGGTTTTGGTCACTGTCAATCTCGTTTCAGTTTCAGTTCTCCAAATGAGGAAACAGCATTTACTGCCCACATGGCAAAAGAGAAATCTCTAAGAAAAATATATCTTGGCTCTTATTTTACATCAAACTGTTCTTGTTGCCCACACTAACCACTGGGAACGTAGGGAGCAAGAATTACCTTCCTATACCCATCCCTGCAAGCAAGATGGGACAATAACACCCATTGTAACTCAGATTAGAATATCTCCTCCCACACCTGGAAAAATCAAGGAGAAATACTGTGTGTGCCTGTGATCCACAAGCCTGTAAAACCCCAAACTCCAGGTTTATGGGATTAGCACAGATAGAGGCATGCTGAGAGCCCAGAACAGTTGGACCAGTGACCCCCAGTGCACACTTGGAGGTGTGTGTATATAACTATATATGTACATATAGACTGACTCAGCCAACTGCAAACATCTTGTGTGTGTGCATACAAACCCCAAAAGTTTAGCTCTACATAGCAGATAAGAACTGAACCACAAAAGAGGCTTAAAAAGGAGATGGGGGGGGAAAGGCTTTACTACTCAAAGATCTCTTCCTACCTGGAAACAGGGAAAAAAAAAATGACAACTTGGAAATTGATGAAAAGAAACAGTAAATGAAAATTAGGTGAAAAACAACCATGAAATAATAGATTTCAGAGTTACTGAGCACAGAAGGGATCTCTCTGACCTATCACCAGAGCAGAGCAAACACAGCTGGGTGAGGTGACCCAGCCACGGGCAGAGGTTTTTAGGCTGGTCACAGAGCTCTGTGAGCACAGCCACTAATCCAGGTCACAAAACCATCTGTTTCTCAGAGTCCCAGACTGGGAATGGGCACATCCCACTGACATTCCGATGTCTCTGCACTGTCCTCTGCTACAGATATGTCATTATTGTTCCTTGTGCCTGCAGACACCGGTACACACCAAAAGTAATTTTCATACTAACTGCAAAACTAATTGGAACACACACCCCCCCCCAGTTTACTTGGAACCTCTAAACCACTCTGAATTCTTCATCCCTCAGACCACGGAATGCACAAGCTATGAAAGCAAGAGGAAAATCACCTTGCAATAATCTTCCCACAGGGTAAACAACACCCGAAAGGTTCCAAAGCCAATTTTGAAACCTGTCCCATAAGGGATTTACAGAAAAACACTATTTCCACAGTACTAAAAGTGGTAAAAAGGTCCTAGCACCCTGCCTCTGTCACAGAAGGAGGGCACAGGAGTGGGTGATGACATCCCTACACTGGTCCTGCCAAAATGAAAAGTGAACAGCAGGAAAGCTCATGGCAGGGAGGGAAGCAGATGATCTGGAGCAAAGAGCCCAATTACCACTGAATTCCCCTCACTTGGTGCTGGCACAGGTGCTCTCCCAGTTACCCCAGCATTCTCCTGACTGGGAATGCTGTAGAACAGCCCCTCGGGGCACACATGGCACAACACAGAGGAAATTCCCAAAACAACGGCTCCAAGCACTGCCAGGCTCTCATCCCAGCTTCCCACAGATCCCAGTTCCCCTCTCAGGCATTACATGTTCTGGTTCAACCCTCCTAAAGCCCCATTCAAGCTCTTGGCTCCCCCTGCACCCTCAGCTCTGCCTAAATGGAACACAGACAACTCAGGCTTGTGGCCTGACCAAAACCCAGACAGAAGTAGTGCAAGACCCAGTTCTGCCACTCAGCTCCTCTCTGCCCTCCCAAAATAGCTATTCCAGGTAGAAGCCAGTTGTTACATGCTGAATTCCTAATGTTTTCCATGTTGATGATCCAGCAGATGAACAAAGAGGTTGGAGTGTTCCAGTGGCACAGTTATTTAGTGGAAATTAATCCCAAACAAAAGCTCTGAGTGGCTTTAAACTGCACAAGGTCATAGTCACCACAAATGGCACAGGAAATCCAATATTCTGTGAAAATTTGGACTAACTTTGGAGTCTACATCCCATCAATGAGGTGTGAAAGATGAATATTTACTTTTCATGAGATGAAAGACACTTGCAGCAGTGCTAGTTGTCACCACATACAGCAGCCTCCTTCCTTAGCCTTTGCTGTATTCCCAGATATTTTACACCTGCCAGACATCCACATTTTTCAGTACATCCAATACACACAGATCCAGTTAGGCTGCCCTTTACAAACAAAGCTCTGTCTGTAGGAAGGAATGAAATGCACATAAAATGTGAGCCTAGATAAAGGATCCCATTGTGGCTGAAGCAATGACACAACTACGTCAGATGTTAATCCTCACTGGGAAAATCTGTAAGCAATTCCTTAATTCTTGACTAAGCAGCCTGTTGAGGTTCCATTCATTGAATCCACAAAAAGATATATATTTTTGAATCATAATCATATGAATGCTATTTTGTATTCATTTTGTTCGGAGTACAAGACACCTATTTTTCAGTTTTGAATGGCTTTAAGTTTTTCACATGGGAATTTCCACCTACAGATTTCTGAAATTCTAACCATAAAGTATTAAAATAAACATTTTCAGGCTCTTTTCACCTGAGAGAAACTTTCCCAGAGTCGTTCTTTACAACAGGAGTCTATAGTACTCAAAAGTAGCTCTCAAACATAACATGGGCAGAGCCTTTCCCAGAAAAGCTCAGCCAGGAAAAACTGTTTGAAATAAGAAAAATTTTAACATAAAATCTTTGCAGAACAGTTCAGCTTGGGAATAAATTAATATATCTGGCTCAGGGTCTGGAAACATATGGAAACATAAATCACTTTCAGTTCCAAAGACAGATTATTATGGAGCTTCGGTTTAAAAACCTGAGTGAGGCAGTTCTGTTTTCCAGCTCTGTGGGATTTTTAGGAGGACCAGGGAGGGTTTTTTAACTCATCTCCTCCTTTAAGCTGTTGGACACTTTTAGTGCAGCCAAAGGCACCCTGAGCTACAAGGTGCTTTTATTTCATGTCACGAGCTGGATGGCAGGTTTGAACACTGTGCTGCTGGGAAACCTCAAGAGAAAACCACCTGGAAGCAAAAGGAAACAAGTAAAGGACAATTCCTGCCATCAGCAGCATGATTTGGTTTTCAGAAAACTGAACATGGTCTTTTCAGAACTCAGATACTCAAATCTGTGACCAGAGCCCACAAAGACCTATTTCCCATGGAGATAGGCTGGGAGAGCTGGGGGTGTTCCCCTGGAGAAGAGAAGGCTCCAGGGAGACCTGAGAGCCCCTTCCAGGGCCTAAAGGGGCTCCAGGAGAGCTGGAGAGGGACTTGGGACAAGGGGCAATGGCTTCCCACTGCCAGAGGGCAGGGTTGGATGGGATATTGGGAAGAAATTCTTGTGTGTGAGGGTGGGGAGGCCCTGGCACAGGTTGCCCAGAGAAGCTGTGGCTGCCCCCGGATCCCTGGAAGTGTCCAAGGCCAGGTTGGATGGGGCTTGGAGCAACCTGGGCTAGTGGAAGGTGTCCCTGCCCATGGCAGGAGGTGAGACTGGATGATCTTGACTTTCCCTTCCAACCCAAACCATTCTGGGATTCTATGACAACCTACTAAAGGTCACCAGCTCCAAAAGGAGGTGGCATTTCAGTCATGAAGACAGGGAGGTATATTAATGGTAATTACATGGAATACTCTGGATTGGGTGAGGAAACAAGGAGACTGCAACACAAGGAGATTTTTCAGTAAAATCTGTTCACTGTGGGAAAGAAGAGAGGCCTTCCTAACCACAGTTCCTCTGTTTAATCCTGCACAGGTGCTGCTACTGAAAGATTCCCCTGTGTTTCCATCCCGAGAACTTGATGGAAGCTATTACAGTAAGCAGCATTAAAAAGTGATGAACCAAAACTGCCATTTTGGCACCCAATTTCACTCACTTATCCACCTTCAACAAAGTCATTCACGTCTTGGATATTCAGATGATTTCAGAGAAGCTGGAACTACATTCTTTCAGATATTTTTGTTTTATGGAAGAATTAAACACACTGGCATTAAATCATGTTGCAATTTAGCTTGTTTTTTTGTCAATGCATAATTCCAAATCTACTATATGAAGTGTTATTTACCCTTATCCCTGCAATCTCGATCCCTAGGAAAGGATTTGCCTTGATTTCTTTACTGCCTGAAGTCCTACACCACATAATCTGCAGTTGGCAGTGCTTCAGCCTGAGAGATACCAACATATTTGACTGGTTATACACTTGCATGGTTTATTTATACGAGAATTTCTAAATAAATTTGAACGGTGGGGATTAAAAGCAGATGAAAAGCCCTTTAT